CATCGACATAAAGCAAGAGAATTATAAAATCACCATCAAAGAATTTCTTCACAAACACACAATGATCAGTTATAGTCCTTTGATATTCCTGCCCTATCATGAAGGCATCAAACTTCTTGTACCACTACCTCAGAGCTTGCTTGAACCCATACAAGCATTTGTTGAGAGGACATACACGCTTCTCTTTTCCTTTCTCCTGGAACCCATCTGGTTGCTCCATGTAATATCTTTTCTTCCAAATAACCATGCAAGAAGACTTTCTTCACATCAAGCTATTCAATCTCAAGATTCAAGCTGGCCGCTATCCCAAGCACAACTCGGATCGAAGACATCTTTACAACAGGAGAGAATATCTCGTCAAAGTCTACGCCCTTTCTCTGATTGAATCCCTCCCTTTACAGCGAATATGGCTTTGTACCTCGATTGTGAGCTGTTCTCACTTGTTTTCAGTCTGAACACCCATTTATTCTTGAGTGCTCTCTTGTCCTTAGGCAGCTTCACCAGGTCATAAGTGTTATTCTCATGCAAGGATTTGATCTTCTCTTGTATGGCTGCTAACCACTGATCTTTTTGCTCATGACTAAAAACCTCTTCATACAACTATGGCTCTCCCCCATCAGTAAGTAACAAATACTCATGAGCATTGTATTTGGTGGAAGGTCTCTTGTCTTTGGTAGACCTCCTGAGCTAAACAAAAGATGATGAAAATGGTGGTGTCTCTATTTCAAAAGTAGGATCATCATTAGACTCACCATCCTGCTCTGTCTCAGCTCCCCCTTTAGGAGATTCATCTTAATGTGGAGAAACTGGATCTAGATCAACAGGAATCTCATGTGAAGATTCTGGCATCTCGCCTTTTCCCATATCATCAATGTTCTGGTCTTCAAAGAAAATCACATCTTTGCTTCTGAACACTTTCTTCTCTTTAGGGTCCCAAAGTCTATACCCAAAACCATCATCGCCATACCCCAAGAATACACACTGCTTGGATTTTCCTTCAAGCTTCGACCTTTCATCTTTGGGAATATGAACAAAGGCACAACAACCAAAAACTCACTAACGTCCAAATGAGACATCTTTTTCAGTCCAGACTCGCTGTGGTAGATCGCCATCCAATGGAACGGAGGGAGAGAGGTTGATCAAATCAACTGCTATCACCACGGCTTCACCTCAAAAGGATTTAGACAGCTTTACACTCGAGATCATACACCTAAAATTTTCGGTAATAGTTCTATTCATTCTTTCTACCACACCATTCTGCTGCGGAGTCTTTGGAACACACTTCTAAAGTTTAATGCCATGGTGTCGGCAATACTTCTCAAACGGACCCTTGTACTCACCACCATTATCTGCTCGAACACACTTCAACTTCTAGTCAGTCTCCCTTTCAACTCTAAGGTGAAATTCTTTGAACACATCTAATAGCTAGTCTGTAGATTTTAATGGAAAACACCAAACTTTTCGAGCATAGTCATCAAGTAACAAAGTATAATGCACCACCTAACGACCTATCTTTCATGTAACATACATATGTATGAACTACCTTCTGGAGGACTGGATTTTTTAGATGGAGGAGAATTTTGAAAGGAAACCTATGTTGTTTACTATAGATATAGTCAACACAAGGTTCTAGAGCAGTACCTTTCACCTCATGGAGAAATTACTTCTTACCAAGAATCTGCAGCCCCTTGAAACTAATGTGTTCAAGCCTCTAAGCCATAGATCAATGGAGACATTGTGAGTTGCATTCACCTCTCCATTCTTCAACTTTGCATTCAACACATACAAAGAGTTCAACTTCTTTCTTCTAGCAATAACAAGATTCCCTCTAGTAATTGTCCAATGGTCGCCACCTTTAGTACTATGATAACCCTCATCATCAAGTTTGCAAACAGAAATAAGGTTCAGACGCATATCTTGAACATGTCTGACATTCTTTAAGACAAGAGTACAATCTGTATTCGTTACCATTGATACCTCTCCCAAGCGAACAATATCACATGAGGCTTGGTTGCCCATTCTTACACGACCAAAATCCCCAGGTGTGTAAAAGGTGAAGAAGTTCTTGTGAGACATCACATGATAAAACGCACCTGAATCACCAAACCAATCACTGTCGTGACTCACAACATTAATTGTATCATCATCACAGTACAAAAATACATCACTGGTAGTTACTACTGCAGTAGTGTCGTCATCACTTGATTCATCTTTCTTGCCATTACCTTTTCTCGCTGCTAGTTCTCCCTTGAGAACCTTGCACTTATTCTTAAAGTGCCCTTTCTCTTTACAATGGTAGCACATAATATCTCTCTTGGATTTAGAACGCCCTCTGGTTTTACTTCTCCCTCTTCTGTCTGACTTTTCTGTCACCAGAGACTGCAACCCAGGCTAAATACTCTGCTCCTTTCTCTTGACTTCTTCATTCATGAAAACCTCTTTTACCTGATCTAAGGTCAAGACACCATCCTGGGTTGAATTACTGATTGACACTACCAAAGTGTCCCAACTGTCTGAAAGAGAACTAAACAATAACAAAGCCTGCACCACATTATTCAACTTTAAACCTACATTCACTGCCTGGTTCAACAAACCCTGAAACGAACTCAAGTGCTCATTCATGATAGCACCATCTTTGTACCTCAACCTGGTAATCTGTTTCAACGCAGATGACTTATTGATGTCGAACTTCTTCCGGTACATATTCTAGATTTTCTCCAAAAGTTCATCAGTTTTTCTTTCTCTCCAAAAGTGATGAAAGACATTTTGATCAATCCATACACTGGATTGATCAAATTACATATTCTGGATTTTCTAGTAATATTCTGGATTTTTTCCCACAATTCATCAGCTTTTGTTTCTCCCCAAAAGTGATGAAACACACTTTTGATCAAATATTACCAACAGTCAACATGTGCATATCAGCTCACTTTTTATCAATCATATCATTTGGCCTACTGATAACACAAAAATATATACCCTTTTGTAGGCATTTCTTACTCATTCCTATTTATAATTTAGTGTCAATTAGTAAGGATTAGTTTAGCTTTTGGAGTGATTTTGAAGTTCAGCTATCTCAAGGGCCAATGTGGAAAATTAGCATAAATGATGGCCAAATTGCACAAAAGGGCATAAAAAGGGACTGGAATGGAAGCTGCTCAAAATTGAGCTGTTGGAAGGTCGATCAGAGCTGGAGCAAGTGGAGAAATCCTTCCTGAGGAAAGAGGATTGGCAACAAATGATCACAACTTGGAAGGATCTGCTGCAACACACTCAATTGAGAGGAGGAAGGGCAGCTGCCCTGCTGCCTAATTGTTGTTATAGTAGTTGTTGCTGATGTCAATCAAAGAGGAGCCACGAGCTGAAATCTTGGTGCCTAAGGAAGGAGATTACTTTGCCATCACTACAAGTTGCTGCTGTTGCAAGTGGAAGAAGAGAAAGAGGGAGAATAAGTGATAAACAACAGGTGCAACTCTGCTACTTACCAACTAATTTGCTGTTGAGTTGATGGATTGGCGGCTACAGAAGGGTAAGCAATGGTGAAGCAAGTGACCCAAGAAACAAGGAAGAAAAGGGCAAAAGATTTAGGCTAATTTGGGGGCTAAAACACAATGAAGGAAAGAAACATGTTGCTGATGTTGCTGCTTGCTACTGCTACTAGTTGGGCTGTTGAGGATTAAAGAACGAAGAAATGGAGATTTGTGGCTGCAAATGGTGAGAAGGCACCGGAGAACAAGGCTAAAGAGAAGCAGCAATGATGAGTAGAAGGTGACTAAGTGCGGCTAAAGAAGGAATGAGCTACACAGAGAAGGCAGCAACTTGCCAATTTGCTGAATAAACAAATGCCTTTAGCTGCTACAACTTGTTGTCTCCTCTACTTTGCTTAACAGAAGGCCATAACTCCACCAATCCAAGTCTCTCCAAATCTCTATAAATAGTCAGCCAATAGCAGTTAGAAAAATACAGATTGGGTAGTTAGATTTTGTCCAAAAGACAGGAGTTAGGTAGTTAATAAGGAGGCAAACTGTCCCTTTGTCAAGTGGCGAATGCTACTCGCCATAGTGAACAGACAGAAAACTATCCCTGCTACCATCGTTCCTTTCTTTCCTCTAACCTTTTGATTCAGATTCATGTTTATCTATACTTTGTTTCTCTCATGTTTAACTCAATAAACATGAGTAGCTAACTCAGTTAAGGGTTCAATCCCTACTATCTTTATGTGAAGGTTTTGATTCAGTTTCCTTGATGAGGTGTTGTGCCTAGATAAGTGATTTACTTAACCTTTTAATTAACTTGACCACTTAATTAAATGCGCTTGCATGGTTATGACGATCTGGAAGGGGATACCCTTAGAACTTCTTAATCTAGTCTATGACAATGGAGGAAATCTACCCTGCAGTTCCAGACATCAACAGAATTTAGGTGAATGGCATAGACAATTATATAGGGCTTAAGAACTCAATGGCTTAGATTAAAATACTCTTACTGGAACCTAGAGGTAGTTTAGGACTCTTTATTCTATCTTGAAGGAATTATAAAGATGCATAAGTGCCTGATCGAACAACTAATCATACACTATAGGAAGATTTGAATCAAATCTGGATGATAAAGGTAGGAAGGTGATTGACCCTTCTGCCTCTTCACTCTGTCAAGTGACTATTCTCACTCTCCCAAGTGACAATCTGTTCAAACTATTTTCTTTCTTTTCTGCACTTTAATCAGATTTTGAGCAGTTAACTGCCATCCCTGTGGAACGATCTTGCTTACCACTAGCTAATAGTTTTAAGTAGGTTTATAAATTATTCTTTTGGGAAATGGATCAACGACACTACACAAATCCATCAGCCAAAAGTGGCACCGTTGCCTGTGATGGCATTAAAAATCCTTAAAGTCTGATTATTGTGTTCTGATTTTGTTTTTCTTTTTTTAGTATTTGGTTACATTCAAATTTACTCACTCAAAATCTTTTATTGTTACTTTTGTGATTTGATTACTGGTTTATGACTAGAAGCAATCCTTTGGGAGAGCTAAGTTTTGACCCAGAAATCAAAGACACAACGAGGAGATCAAAATTCTTGCGAAACAGAAAAGCTGCTGCTCAAGTTCCTAAAGAAGATCAGAAGAAAATGGCAGAGGTAGCAGCAGCTGATCAACCTCAAGAAAGAGAGCTACAACCAGCTCAATCCAGACTGCTAAGAGATTATTTTGTACCCCAAGAGGAGGAAGTTCAAACTCCATTGGTGTACAATGATGTTGCAGCAGAGAACTTTGATCTAAAAACTCAACTGATCCAATGGGTACAAGTTGCTTGTCCTTTCTATGGACTGCCAAGTGGAGATTCGAATGAGCACATCAGGGAATTCCTAAGATTGTGCAGCACATTCAAAATCCAAGGTTTTTCCAAAGATGAGGTTTACTTGAGACTGTTTCCATTCACATTGCAGGATTTAGCAGCAAAATGGTTGGACACTCTGCCTAACAATTCAATCAATTCCTGGAATAGACTCAGACATGCATTCCTTACTAAATTCTTCCCACCTGTCAAGGCTGCTGCTTTAAGATCAGCCATCATGACTTTTCAGCAGCATGGGACAGAGACTCTTTATGAGGCCTGGGAAAAGTTTAAGGATCTGATAAGAAAGTGCCCTCAACATGGTGTAGAGAAGCCGCTGTGTATTTTCTACAATGGATTGCAGCAAGCTTCCAGAGAATCACTTGATTCATCATCTGGAGGAGCATTCATGATGAAACCTGTCGAAGAAGCAATCCAGGTGCTGGAGAATATGTGTGCTAACCATTTCAAATGGCAGAAGGAGCCTAGAGCTACAACTAAGAAAGCAGTAGTGTTGGAGCTAGATACTACAACTCACTTGCAAGCACAAATGGCAGCTATCACCAGTGAGCTATCAAAGGTAAGAGCTGACATCAACAAACCAAAGGTTGATGTATGTGAAATCTGCACACAATCTCACTCTAGCTCCGTTTGTCAAGCCACCATGGAAAAAGTTTAGTTCATGAGGCAAGGAGATAACAGAGGAGGCTTCATCAATTACAACAATTGGAGGCCACAGCAGAATAACAACTGGACTAATCAGCAGTCGAACTACCAAAGATCAGCTCAACCACCTGGATTTCAGAATCAGCCATTCAGAGTCAAGGAGGAAGACTGGATCAAGGTTGGTAATGTTCTTGGTAGTCTTGATGCAACTGTAAAAGATATGCAAAATCAGGTGCACAAATGGCAAGATACCAGACAGACCAACTGACTCTTTCTAGTGATACACTGGAGAATCCCAAGAGAAAGGAAGCACACAGCACAGATCAGAAGGCTGAGATGCAGCACAAGGAGGTGTTGCAACTGAAGGAACCTAAGGAGCACCAATCAGTCTGGCATGAGACATTAATCCAATGCGCTGCTTGGGAGGCAACCCAAGGTAAGTTATTTTGTTCTTCTTAATTTTGTTTCAATTATCTTTTGCTAATTAATCAATCTGTTTAGTTGTAATTAAAAAGGGTAGAATAGCCCTTATCAAAAATTTTTAGGTGTACTTGTGTAGATGGTTAACCTAGAATGCCTTGCCGACTATGATGTAGTTTAAACGGCAACATTCGAGTTTAATTATCTACACAATGCAATGAAAAATGATCTATCGTCTCAGTTGGGCGAGTGATAAATTCACTTTCGCGACTAAGATGATTGAACAAAGTAAAAGTGCAACCCTGCACCTTGAGTTCTAATTTAGGAAGAGGAAGCAGAGACCAAAAACTCACTCTGGAAAGTGTAATCTTTCACTCTCCAAAGTGAGAATATCGACTCAGAAGCTAGGGAAGTCAATTCCTTCAAAACTCTGGTCAAATTCTGCAAAAAGAAGAAAAGGGGAAATCACTTTTCAAAGAAGAACTTGACGTGAATGCCGCACAGAGGAGGTCAGGAATAAAACTCTTCTCCATAAAACTACCGCCCATGAACTTCTTGGTCAATAAAACCCTGACAACATTTATCACCCTTCCCATACATCCTCCAAAGTAACTCCCAAGAGAATATCTAAAGTTCAACTCTAGAAACCTGCCCAAACCACATTCAGATATGGTGAGAGAAAGGCAAAGAGCAAGGCGGAGTGTAGTATTTGTACAAGGGGCAGCAATAACACCACCAAACCTCTTAGATCAGCCTTCCTAAGAGGAGAGAGATGCCCACCGGTACATCATTCAAAACATAGCTATATCTAGGCTGTTGGTTAACCAGGAAGCAGCAAAATTTTTCCGAAGAAATTGGGAGAGGCAGGCAATTGTGGAGCGAGGTATGGTAGGGCAGCCAGATCCGAATTCCTACATAGCGCTCCATCATTGGAAAGGATTATGCAATGTCATAATCAGACCCAACCTCAGCGCAGTGAGAGAATTCTACAGCAATCTCAGAGGAGCCCCTAGGGATGAAATCACTGTAAAAGGACAGGTAGTCAACATCAGTATAGAAGCAATCAGGGAGGTGCTCCATCTCCTAGAAACGGATTTCAACTATGCGGATGGAGCTTATCAAGCAATGGATGACCCTTCAAAGGATGAATTTCCATATGTACTATGCTCAGGATCTGCAGAGGTGAAGTGGACAAAATGTAATGGCCTCCGCAAGCACTTCCCAGCCTCAAATCTAAAGCCAGAATACAGACAGTGGTACAACATGATATGCACCAATATAATGCCAATGATGCATAAAAAAGGATCCCTATGAGATGGCTCTTATGCTCTATGCCCTGGTCCTCAACATCTCAATTGATGTAGCCGTAGTTATCAGGGAGCAGATGAATATCTGTGTCAACAACCCAAGGGAGAAAGACTAGTTCTTTCCAATGTTGGCAACAAGACTGATGCAGAGAGCCCATGTGCAGTTCCTGCATACAGACAACAGGGGAGATATACCACCTCCATGGCAGTTGGAAGGACCTCCACACCCATTCCAGAACCTTTAATCACCCAGGGGAGTATTTTATTTTCTTTCTCTTTTCTTTTCTTTTATCTTCTGTTTCTTTTAATTAGGACTATTTTTGTGTTTTCTATTTTGAGTCTATGCATCTAGAGTCCTTAGGATAGATTGAGTCCACTTTGTATGATGATTTTTTTGATTTCAGTCAAATTGCATGCTAAAGTGTTTGTATTTGTTCTTCCCCTGCATCTCTGTTATAAGCATTGGGGAAAATGCTTATTTTAAGTTTGGGGGAGGGATTTGTATTATTTATTTTTTTAAAATATGACAGGATCAAATTTTGAAAAACAGCAAAAAAATTTTAGCTTGTGTGCAACTGTGAACAAGTCTGTGTATATACAGTGTCAAAAGTCTATGATGATTCAAAAATATGCGGGAAATTTTGAAATTTCAAACATTGTTGATTCACTTGAAGTCAGTCCTGCAGTTCTTCACTTTCTCGAGCACAATATGTCACTTGCCAAAGTGAGAGTTTAGTTAATGCTAAAATCTGAATGCTAATTACCTTGTTGTGATCTTATATTGGAGTCCACTTGTCTGAAACCTGGGGGGGGGCCTGTAAACCTGAGTGAAGACTAAGGCGGCACTTCGCATCATGGCAGACTCTGTAAGAGCCCATGATGGTCTATAAAAGCCTAAAAACCTCGGGAAAGGGGAATGGTAAGCGGTTGAACTGAGCTGAAAAGAAAAATTCTAAAATGTTAGAAGTTAGGAAGACTATTCAATAAGGCAGTAATATCCCTGAGTGTTTAGGTTTGGCAAACCAGTAGAGAGAGTCCTCAGGCCTGATGAGGATAAATGATAAAAATGAATAAAACTGTCCTAAGTTGCTGAACCACTGTGAGGAATCACTATAGATAATAAGTGGAAAAATGCTCTGGGTGAAATGCTCTAAGTTGCTGAGCCACTGTAAATTAAGTGGAAATATACTCGGGGTGAAATGCCCTAAGTTGCTGAGCCACTATAAATAGATACTGAGTGGAAATATGCTCTGGGTAAGGGCCTGAGTGGGAAAGATCTAGAAGAAAAGCCATATGGACAATGAGAAAAAGGGTTGAGGGAGAAATAAGATGCAGCCAATGTTGTTGCAGAATCTGTGAGGAAGTCCTTAGAATCTAAAAATCTCAGTAAGAATACCCTAGTTGATGGCATGCAGGAAATAGCTATTGATCACAATGATGTCCATTTGTTTATAAACTGATTAATTCTTAGAATGGATCATTGGTAAAAACTTGAATTTTGGCTGTGACATATGCACACACGCACTGAAAAAATGTGATGCTGCTTTCCAATGAACAATGGTGTATAATCTCTCCAGTGAGGGACTTGAATCTGAGACTAACATTGATACAATGTTGCATTTACTTATGTTCATTTAGCCACATTCTTTTTCGATCACTGTCATTACTTTTATCCATGAAAATTAAAATATCACTCCTTCTCTCTAAGTCAGTCTTGCTGTGTCTAGGTCAGTAGGAATGTTGCATGAATTTGTTTGCTAGAGGATTAGTAAAACTCTGAGTTTGGGGGTATTGCTTGAGGACAAGAAACACTTCAAGTTTGGGGGTATCTGATAACACAAAAATATATACCCTTTTTGTAGGCATTTCTTACTCATTTCTACTTATAATTTACTGTCAATTAGTTAGGATTAGTTTTCTTTTTGGGTGATTTTGCAGTTCAGGTATCTCAGAGGGCCATTTGAAAAATTAGCATAAATGAGGGCCAAATTGCACAAAAAGGCATAAAAAGGGACTGGAATGGAAGCTGCTCAAAATTGAGCTGTTGGAAGGTCGATCAGAGCTGGAGCAAGTGGAAAAATCCTTACTGAGGAAGGAGGATTGGCAGCAAATGATCATAACTTGGAAGAATCTGCTGCAGCACACTCAATTGAGAGGAAGAAGAGCAGCTGCCCTGCTGCCTAATTGCTGCTGCAATAGCTGTTGCTGTTGTCAATCAAAGAGGAGCTACGAGCTGAAATCTTGGTGCCCAAGGAAGGAAATTACTTTGTCATCACTGCAAGTTGTTGCTGTCGCAAGTGGAAGAAGAGAAAGAGGGAGAATAAGTGATAAGCAGCAGCTGCAACTCTGCTACTTACCAACTGAAGCTGCTGAGTTGATGGATTGGGAGCTATAGAAGGGTTAGAAATGGTGAAGCGACTCAGGAAACAAGGAAGAAAAGAGCAGAATATTCAGTCTAAATTGGGGGCTGAAACACGATGATGGAAAGAAGCATGCTGCTAATGCTGCTGCTTGCTACTGCTACAAGTTGGGCTGCTGAGGATTAAAGAATGAAGAAATGGAGATTTGTGGCTGCAAATGGTGAGAAGGCATCGGAGAACAAGACTAAAGAGAAGCAACAATGATGAGTAGAAGGTGAGTGGTTGCGGCTAAAGAAGGAAGGAGATACCCAGAGAAGGCAGCAACTTGCCTTGCTGAATAAACAAATGACTTTGGCTGCTGCAACTTGCTGTCTCCTCTACTTTGCTGAACAGAAGCCAAGAACTCCACCAATGCAAGCTTCTCTAAATTTCTATAAATAGTCAGCCACTAGCTGTTTGAAAAATAATAGATTGGGTAGTTAGATTTAGTTCAAAAGACAGCAGTTAGGTAGTTAGTTAGTAGGTTAGAAACAGGGTAGTAGCAGGAACAATGAGGCAGACTGTCACTTTGTCAAGTGGCGAACACTACTCGCCATAGTTAACGGACAGAAAACTATCCCTGTAACCATCATTCCTTTCTTTCCTCTAACCTTTTGATTTAGATTCATGTTTATCTTTTGTACTCTATTGCTCTCATGTTTAACTCAATAAACATTAGCTAACTCAGTTAAGAGTTCAATCCCTACTATCTTTATGTGAAAGTTTTGATTCAGTTTCCTTGAGTAGGTGTTGTGCCTAGATAAGTGATTTACTTAACCTTTTAATTAACTTGGCCACTTAATCAAATGTGCTTGCATGGTTATGAAGATCTGGAAGGGGGTGCATAACCTTAGAACTGCTTAATCTAGTCTATGACAATGGAAGAAATCTACCCTGCGGTTCCAGACATCAACGGAAGTTAGGTGAATGGCATAGGCGATTATAGGGCTTAAGAACTCAATGGTTTAGATTAAAATACTCTGACTAGAAGGTAGAGGTAATCTAGGACTCTTTATTCTATCTAAAAGAAATTATAAAGATACATAAGTGCCTGATCGAACAACTAATCATACACTACAGGAAGATTTGAATCAAAATTGGATCATAAAGGTAGAATGGTGATTGACCCTTCTGCCTTTTAACTCTGTCAAGTGACTATTCTCACTCTCCCATGTGACAATCTGTTCAAACTATTTTCTTTCTTTTCTGTACTTTAATAAGACTTTGAGTGGTTAACTGCCGTCCTTGTGGAACGACCTTGCTTACCACTAGCTAATAGTTTTAAGTAGGTTTATAAATTATTCTTTTGGGAAATGGATCAATGACACTACACAAATCCATCAGCCAAAAGTGGCACCGTTGCCTGTGATGGCGTTAAAAATCCTTAAAGTCTGATTATTGTGTTTTGTTTTTGTTTTTCTTTTTTTAGTATTTGGTTACATTCAAATTTACTCACTCAAAATCTTTTATTGTTACTTTCGTGATTTGATTACTGGTTTATGACTAGAAGCAATCCTTCAGAAGAGCTAAGATTTGATTACTGTCGTCCCTGTGGAACGACCCTACTTACCACCAGCTAATAGTTTTAAGTATGTTTATAAATTATTCTTTTGGGAAGTGGATCAACGACACTACACAAATCCATCCACCACCTACCTTCATCCCCTAGAACAGGATCAAACAAATCTTTGCAATACAACAAGTCTTCCGTTCTAAGTTACCACATATGATATTTGGATGGAGTCAATTTAATCATCGTACCAGAACCCGATAACTCTTCCATTTTATTGGTCTAACACCTCAATTACCAAACAGTAGCTCTGATACCACTGTTGTGGTTGAAAGGGTATAGATAGAACAATCAAGCGGAAATGGACATGGCAGGAGTCCCTCGAGAAATTATGGAACATAAGCTAAATGTCGACCCAAATGTCAAACCAGTGCAACAGAAAAAAGAGTATTTTCTCGCGAACGTAATGACGTCATCAATGAAAAAACAATGAAGCTAGTCCGTGCCAACATACTCCGAGAAGTTCTATGGCCTACATGGTTAGCCAACTCGGTCTTGGTGCGAAAACCCGATAATTCTTGGCGCATGTGCCAAGACTACACCGGCCTTAACAAACATTGCCCCAAGGACTACTATCCCCTACCAGTCATTGATTAGATGGTAGAAGGTATTGCCGGATATAGAGTCCTCAGTTTCCTTGACGCGTACAAGGGATATCATCAAATCCTCATGGCGCGGGAAGATGCAGAGAAGACGGCTTACATCACCGAGATGGGGGTTTATTGCTATGACAAGATGCCCTACGGACTGAAAAATGCAGGGGCCACGTACTAGCGTCTCGTGAACAGAACCTTTCATGACCAAATCGGCCGGAACATCAAGATTTAACTGGACGACATGGTGATAAAGAAAAATAAGGACGAGCAAGTAGCTGCAAATATGCGCGAGATTTTCACAATCTTACGCAAAATTAACATGAAGCTAAATCCTAAAAAATGCACCTTTTGTGTAGGGTCAGAAAAATTCCTAGGGTACCAAGTCTCCAAGGATGGAATAAGTGTTGATCCAGCCAAAATCGAGGCCATCTTAGCCATGGAAGCACCAAAAACCGTCAAAGTTCAAAAACTCACAGGCTCCTTGGCAGCCTTGGACAGGTTTCTGTCTCGAGTCGCGGAGAGAAGCCTCCCATTCTTCCATACCCTCCGCAAAGGCAAAAAATTTGAGTGGAATGAAGAATGCCAGAAGGCCTTCCAAGACCTGAAGGAGCACCTCAAGCAGTTGCCCACATTAGCTAAGCCTGAGCCAGGGGAAACACTATATATTTACCTGGCAGCTTGAGAGAAAGCCATCTCGGCCGTGCTTGTGCCAGCGCAAAGATAGCAGAGAAATCCACATCTATTTCTTTAGCAAAGCCTTGCAAGGAGCGGAAACCCGCTATACACCCATGGAAAGGCTCATCCTTAGCCTAGTCTTGGCCACCCAACGTCTGCGCCTATACTTCCAAGCACACCCCATCATGGTTCTAACAGAATAACCAATTCAGCAAGTCCTACTCAAGTCAGAGGCCTCTGGCAGGATGATGAAATGGGCAGTCGAATTGGGCGAACACCATATCGAATACAAACCTCGATCAGCAATCAAAGGACAGGCCTTTGCAGATTTCCTAGTAGAGATGCCTCGAGCTATCGATGTCAAGGACACGGTGGAGCCCAAAGATGATCCATCTACTCGTGTCAACATCAACCCCCGAGCTTGGTCCCTATACGTCGACGGCTTTCGCGGTGACGAAGGGGGAGGAGCCAGTATCATATTATCCAAATCTCCAGCTGACCTCGACATCGAAAGCATGAGAGAATACGATGCAGAATATACATACGCATTAAGGTTCAGGTTCTCAGTCACCAACAATGTAGCAGAGTACGAGGCACTGATAGTAGGACTGAACATGGCACTAAAGCTCGGTGTCCGCAAAATCCAAGTTTTTAGTGATTCTTAGGTAGTGGTGAAACAAATATTGGGAGAATACACAGCAAACGACGAGCAACTCAAGCGCTATCTCGAGAAAGTCCTCGACATCAAGGACAAGTTCGAAGAATGCACTGTGTGCCACATAGTCCACTCAAAAAATAAAAGGGCCGACGCCCTTAGCAAGTTGGCCTCCTCGAACTTTGCACACCTTAGCCACAAGGTATGGGTCGAGATTCTCCCCAATCCTAGCATCCAGGAAGCCCCCGTAATGGCCATCGTCGAGGACAGTAGTACTTGGATGACCCCGTTTATCCAATACCTTACGGATGGGACGCTGCCAAGCGGAAAAGCAGAGGCCAGAGCTCTCCGATTGAAGGCGGTCAAATACACATTACGAGACGGCGTCCTGTATAAGCATGGCTACCTGCTACCCATGCTAAGATGCATTGGCCCAAAGCAGGCAGCTTATGTGCTCGAAGAAATACACGAGGGATCGTGCGGAGCCCACATGGGGGCAAGGGCACTCTCCAAGAAAGTCTTGCGGGCAAGCTATTTCTGGTCTACAGTTTTCAAGGACGCCTACCAGTGGGTACAGAAATGTGAAAAGTGTCAACGCTTCTCTCCCATCACCCGACAGCCACAGCACGAGATGGTCACCATCCAAAGCCCTTGGTCATTCTACCAATGGGGCACTGACATCATCGGCCCCTTTCATCCGGAGGGGGTAGGAGGAGTAAGGTGGGTCATCGTAGTGGTAGATTACTTTACTAAGTGGGTAGAAGCTAAACCCCTGGCCTCGATAACAGGAAGGAAAGTCTTGGATTTTTTCTGGCAGAACATTGTATGCCGTTTTGGAATCCCAAAAATTATCGTCTCCGACAATGGGACCCAATTTGAGAGCAATCCTTTCAAGTCATGGTGCGACAAAATGCAAATCAAGCGTTATTTCTCAAGTGTGGCCCATCCCTAGGCTAACGGTCAAGCCGAATCCATAAACAGAACCATCTTACATGGGATCAAGACCAGGTTGTATGACGCAAAGGGAGCTTGGGCCGACGAGCTTCCTCATGTCCTATGGTCATACCGCACCACTGCTCACTCCTCGACAGACAAAACACCGTATAGCTTAGTCTATGGCATGGATGCCGTCCTCCCGGTTGAAATAGGCCTGTCGAGTCCTCGAATAATAAACTTCGTCAAGAGTACCAATGATGATGACATCCGACTAAATCTCGACCTGCTCATGGAACGGCGGGACGCCATCAGAATCCGAGAAGCAAAGTATAAAGAGATTCTGCACAGACATTACAACAAGAAGGTAAAAGCCACGGATCTTGCTATAGGCGATCTCGTGCTAAGGAAAAATGAGGCCAGCCGAGCAGAAACTCTTGGAAAACTCACAGCAAATTGGGAAGGGCCCTACAAGGTTATTCAGGCTTCCCCAGCAGGTAGCTACCGCTTACAGGCCATGGATGATAGTGGGACTATTCTCCCTCGATGGTGGAATATACAGAATCTTCGCAGGTTCTATGTTTGAGTCTTTGCCTGCTATTTGCCTATTGTGTGTTTTATTTGCTTTATTTACCATGTCAGTTTTATCCTCTCATATGTAATGCTAACCCGGGTTCTCGGGTAATTATTCAATAAAAGACATTACATATTCCCTTCACTAGTGACTATTCATCGAAATGGACTCCCTCTTCAGGGTTATCCTCGTTAAAGAGCCGTGTACTCAACATCCACGAAATCGTGGGATTACCCTCACACACACACTGCAAAACGCAGTATCTAATCGAGGAATTCGGAACCAATTCCCTCGAAAGGCCCATGTACTTCACATTCGGCCTAAAAAAGCTCTATATAAATTAACACTGGAGTAAAGCCAAAAATAATTCACTCCACACTACTGTGCGAGCTTGTAGGAATATACATATTTTCCTACGCTCTTACAAGAACCTCCCTGACAGGATTGTCAGGAGAAGGATGAATAATACTCTTATACCCATGCAGGCTAAGGAGATTCACACATTGATTCAACTTGTCCTTAAGATCCACGATCTCTAGGTCCTGAGCATGCACCCTCATCAACAGCTCTTCTCGAGAACTCCGAGTTTGAGGATCCACTATTTCCTCCGGATGTTCAAAGGCCTCGAAGTCAATGTTGTTGTCTTGTAACAAATTTTGCAACTTGGCAATGTAATCCGTAAGAAGCTTGATCTCATGAGCCTTCTCTTTCAGTATGTCCATGGCTGCAATGAAGCGGCGAGTTCTAGTCAAAATCATGTGTTGAACTCGGGCTAGCACTTGATGCTTCTCGAGGAACCAAGGGGACACCGTAATCTATTGTCTTGCCCTCAGCAAACCATTCTCCTTCTCCAAGGTAACCAGTTCATCATGGATCTCGGCCTCGAAAGTCAAAGAATCACTATAGTCTTACAAACTCTGAGCTTCTCGATGCTGCATCTCCTCACGAAGTCCTTTAATCTCGTTTATCAGATGCTAATTAATCTTTACATTTTGCGTCCTAATTGCATCGAGAAGTTCATTCTCTAAGTTTGCCACTGTCTCGATGTTGTGCACATCGGCACGACTTCTCAGAATTCCGCTAGTCATGGAATATAGCGGGAACTCACTTGATTGCTCCTCTGATAGCACCATGAGGTGAACACGATGGACGGACCAACTATCCTGTTTCACCAGAGGAGTATAAGATGTTTACATCAAACCAAAGAAAAAGAAAACAGAAGACAAAGAAAAGAAGGAGAAGGGATGCTTGTATAAGTACGAAAAAGAAAAAATGCAGTAATCAGTTCATTACAAAAGAAAATGGTAGTTTAAATGGCCTAACAGCTATTACAAAGGGCAGGATTCATACAGCGTCACTACCTGGAGGAGGTCCTTGGAAGGGTCCTGGGAGGCATCCTCGACAGTTCTTTGGACTCCAGAATGGCCAGTATCAGCAACGTCCTCCTCAGTGGCTTCGTCGGCATCCTCGAGCTCGATACCCATGTACTCGTCTGGTACATCAGGTATGGGATCTTCCTCACTTGGACCCTTGGCTAGGATAGCAGGAACGTCGCCAGGGAACGAGGCAATGTTCTCGGGGAACTCATTTTCTCCAGGGCACCAGACAGAGCTTCCCACAGAGGTAGCTGCTCGAGGCTCAACTTTGTTAAGACCTTCACCATGGCTTCATGCATGGTTTTCTTCGGGTCCTTTATCAGGAGCTGCTTGAACCATTTGTCTTTGATCAGCCTGTCCTGGTCGAGCCTCCTCAAACCTGCTACACCAACCCGGTGCGCTCCCTAGTGGTGTGGTTTCTTTCGAGGGCGCGTCCGTTTTCACCTTCTTGGATTTCACCCTATCACCAACCTTCACGATCCTTTTCTTCTTCTTCTTCTGAGGCGCCGCTGTGATAGTAACGTCCTCATCTGAATTTACAGTAGTAAAAGAATCTTCGTCACCAAACAATCGAGAACCAACGTTGCTTGACGACATGACCTAAAAACAGAGGGAAAAAGCAAATGATTAGTACCTTGGTTTTCTTCAACAGAGGTTTCGAGAAGAATTCTGGTTGAGGCCTCGACATTGGCAGTATTTTCTTCCTCGGCGTATGCAGGGGGCACATAATATTGTACGTCGTTCCATTTCACGACCTTGGAATATTTCAAAATCTTCTCCACATCTGCCTCGAGCTCCTCGATGCACTCTTTGTCCTCTTGAGTCCACTCATCCTTTAGGGCCCCAAGACCCTCCGTCTCTCGAAGATTCCACGGCAGGCAATAGCTCTCGAATGCCCGTACAAAAAAGAAATCCGGCTTCCATTCCGGAGAGCCGCCATACGCCTCAACCATCTTTTTCATGCTGGATCTAAGGCGCCTTTTTACAATATACCAGTCTCGGAAGGAGGTCGAGGCCACAACTACTTGGAAGAAGTACCTCCACAATATTAATCGAGGTCTTACTTTTACATGTTGGCATACTCTTGCAAACCCCAGCACAAAAGTTATTAAATTTGGGGTAAAACGAGCAAGGGGAGTCCTATAGTGTTGTACAATCTCCTCAAACAGGGGGAAGAGGGGGAATCTAAGCCCTAGGTGCATGAATCGGCCATATACAGTAATTCTTCCCCCTGGAGGAGAGTTAGCCCTCTCGTTTCCTAACGGGGCTCTTGCCTCTAGGGCTGAAGGAAGGTCATATTTGGATCTAAGGTTCTCTACCTTATCGACAGAATCTATGGTGGATACAAAATCATCGACAGTTTTTCCTTCAGATCCCTAACCATGATTCCGGTACAAATCTACTCTGGCTACAATTGGAAAAGACAAAAACTTGGAACGAAACCGGGGATTTAGATCTGGAAACTTACTGTTAGAGGAGGATGTGACCACTCGCCTTTCGAGTTGTAACTTCCCAGTGCTTCCCGAATCTTGATGGCAAATCCCCTGGAAATAACGTCGCTAGGGCAGTATTTCCGGTAGAGGCTTGAATATTCCGTCGGAGGTAATTGGAATGCTCTGACAGACAGGAGAGTTTTGAAGTTTTTCCGAAGAAGGAAAAGTGATTAAGTGACAGGAGAATGGTAGAGCCTTCTCTTTAAAAATAAAATTTATTCTCCCGCGTTTCCCTAATTACAGCCCACGATATGACAGTTAATGTGAATTTCAAGGAGGTAATGATGGTAAGGCCGCTGTTTGGGGAACGTGCCCACTAATAACGCGCGGTTGAAATTTTGGTGAAACGGATCGCCTTCTCGGGTCAAGATCTAACCCACTAGTCACCCTCGGGTTTCCAAGATCGAGAGTTGTGCATTCGCATCGAGGCCGTTCAACGTATTGCTCGATAATTAGCTGAACGAGAGTAGCATGTCCACTCTTGGGTATGTCCCAGGTAACACTTACTTTGTATCAAGCGTTGTTTATCTTTATCCCACTAACACTTGGCGGGGCACTTGGCGAGTCCATATCCATACCCGAGACTGGACCGGCCCATCAACCGTAGAGAGAATCCAACTGGGACTCTTAGGGCGGTTTAGGTTCCTGAAACCTAATAGGATTCGGGGATTGTCCAGGTATTCTCATACCTATAAATAGGGTAGCTCACACCACAATACAAGTACGCAATCTAGAGCTTAACAGACTACATACCTATACCTTCCAGCAATCCTTTTATTGACTTAAGTATCGGAGTGTCTACTCTCGGGAGACCCCGAGGCCCTGTTTTGCAGAAAACCCTAGCCGGAGTTCCACCTTAGACCGGCGGCGCGTAACCAAGCATCGTCAAACCCCAAGAAAATTTCCTTTCTACCAATAAAATAGGACAACCAAACAAGCCAACCAAACAAGCAAATAATTCAAGGAGGTGATAGAATAAAGTAGACACACGAATTTACGTAAAAATTCAAAAAAAATAATCTTCACCAACCAGTGGATACACAGGACTTTACCCAAAGGTGGATACAATAATACTCTTCCAAACAAACACGAATCGCACAAAGTGGGATTGGAAGGATCTCACCAAAAGAGAGCTAATTTGAAAACTAAACCGGATGAATTGTAGATCTTGTTGAGGGGAACACATATGCAAACTTGCACCAATAACTAATTGTATTTCGTCACCCGATCAAAGCCTTAAATTGAAACACTTTCTTCTCGCAATGCCAAAACCCCGGAACCCTAGTTTTCTCACTTTTCTTGCGCACAAATAGAAGATGCACAGTTGCCCTTTTGCTTCTCTCTCGGCTGGAAAAAACACACGCACAAATATGTTGTACTGCCTTGCTTTTATAAGGATAAAAAAAACGAAACCAATTTGCAAAGGGTTTTGTTCCCTCAGTCAAAACCAAAACCAAAGCCTAATTAGGCTTGGTTTTATTTTTCTTTTTATTGGACCAACTGAGGGGAACTGGGTCCAACAAAAACATCGTAAATATTTTTACCGATCCTGTAATCTTTGCTCCCATGTAAATCTCCGTGTCTCTTGATTATTGCTACACCCAAGTGCATGCATTCTATATTGCTTAACCCACTCTGTCGCGACCAAATTTGCTCAAAAGTATTCCAATACTGATAGGAAAATGGGTAAAACCACAAGGGTGGCTCTCCCATTAGGTAAAATAGGCCATCTATTATGGTATAACTTAAAATTACTGATTTAATTTGACATGTAACTAACAGAAAAAGAGTTCAGATCTCAGAATCCGAGGATCAAAGGTAGCAGGGAGGGGGAAAATTTTGTGAATTTGGAAAGAAAAAGGAATTTAGAGGAATATTTTGGAAAGAAAGAGTTCCAAATGATATTTTCATTAATGACGCTCCTCTACTGATAATTTACATTTTATAGAAAGGAAAAAGATTCCTTTTCATCTGCTAAGACAGCTCAATGCTTAATAATTTAAGGAAATGAAAAATATCAAAATTCAGAAGAAAAATGATACTAATTAGCAACGGGAAGAAAACAGTTCAGCAGTACTATCTTGTTTGCTAATGACGGTGCATTGCCACTCCGAAAATCCATTGCGCCAAATCTTCTTCCCCAATTGAACTCAAACGACGTCGCACCATCCTTCCTTCATAACCCTAATTGATCCAATTATCAAACCGACCTGCTACTAAACCCGATCAGCATGGCACCATCACCTAAAGCTCCAGTATCGGGAGGGCCCGATTTGACTTTCCTTATTTTATGTTACAAAATAATAGGGAAAGAAAAATCTAGAATTTTTCTTTTTTCTTACAACAATATTATTTTTCTAAATAAGAGGCAGAGGAATCTTGAGGAACACAACCGCTTCACATTGTCTCCTAGGTATGCCCGGTCTTGGCAAAACCACTGTAGCCCAACAAGTCTACAATGATCCCTCTATCAAATGTCATTTCCATAAACGCGCGTGGTGTTGTGTTTCCCAAGTGGTTCAGATCGATGATGTACGTCATATTCTATATCCATGTTAATTGGGACGACTCAACGTTTTTTAGGAGACTAAGACATGTTCTGAAATCGAAACATTTTAAGAATAAATAAACTAAATAATGAAAAAGGAAAAAATTAATTAACCCTCCTTTTTTCAAGTTTGGGACTGACAACTATGAACTTGTGAATTGTGAGCCTATAATAGGTAATACTCCCTCCGGTCCTTAATATAAGGCATTTTAATTTGTCCTAGGTTTAATTTAGTACATATTTTTAATTGGCGAAAAAACTTTGAAAATATATTTTTACATTCGTTCTATACTCTTGACTGTTATGAAATATTTTTTAAGATTTTTTTGTCAATTAAAATGTATACTAGGTGAAACATAAGACAAAATCAAAATAATTTATATCAAGGACCGGATGGAGTATTATTCATAGCAGGTGGAGTTAAAACTTTCTTTGCAAATATTATTCATATTAACTTATATTTCTTGCATTTTTTAAAATGTTGTATCTTAAATAATGTTGTTTAACTTTATACGTCCTGTGCTTTCTTGCGACATTGTTGATCTTAAATAATTTTTTATTAATTTAAGTTCTAAAAAATTTGTTTATGTTGAATTTCGACTAAAATGTTCAAATGGTCCCTTACATCTGGACCTATTTAATTTTACGTCCTTAATATTTACATTTTAATATCGCATTCCCAAATATTATGTTTTCAAACTTTTTTTTGTCTCCTTTCACTGTTTCCACCACTTTCCCGTCCAACTCGATTTTGACCCGCCGTTTACATGCTGGAATCAGGGGTATTTTTGTTTTTTTATTTAATTTGAACTTTCATTAAAACTTAAATCATTAAAATATTATAAAATTCATTTGATTGTTAAATTTTATTAATTCAAAATATTATTATAAATTTTAAATTTACATTATTTTCAAAATTACGTTTTTCATTTACCATTATAAATAAAAAATCTCTTTTTCATTTACCATTATAAATAAAGCACAGGGCATATAAAGTTAAACAACATTATTTAAGATACAACATTTTAAAAAATGCCAGAAATATAAGTTAATATGAATAATATTTGCAAAGAAAGTTTTAACTCCACCTGCTATGAATAATACTCCATCCGGTCCTTAATATAAAGTATTTTGATTTTGTCTTATGTTCACCTAGTATACATTTTTAGTTGACAAAAAAATCTTTAAAATATTTCATAACAGTCAAGAGTATAGAACGAATGTAAAAATATATTTTCAAATTTTTTTCGTCAATTAAAAATATGTACTAAGTTAAACCTAGGATAAATCAAAATGCCTTATATTAAGGACCGAAGGGAGTATTACCTATTATAGACTCACAATTCACAAGTTCATAGTTGTCAGTCCCAAACTTGAAAAAAAGAGGGTTAATTAATTTTTTTCTTTTTCTTTATTTAGTTTATTTATTATTAAAATGTTTCGATTTCAGAATATGTCTTAGGTCCCTAAAAATGGTTGAGACGCCCCAACGTACAAGGATATAGAAGGTGACGTACAATATCGATATGAACCAATTGGGAAACACAACACCACGCGCGTTTATGGAAATGACATTTGATAGAGGGATCATTGTAGACTTGTTGGGCTACAGTGGTTTTGCCAAGAAGGGGCATACCTAAGAGACAATGTGAAGTGGTTGTGTTCCTCAAGATTCCCCTGCCTCTTGGGGACATGACTAGATTTTGTTTTACTACTTATCATCAATCCAATCTGTTAGTTCTGATCATAATGGCTTTTCACTTAATTTCCGTGAGTTTAATCGCATGTAATACATCAGAAAGCATCAACTACGTATACCAGATAGGATTATTCATAACCAAACAGGAGCTGATGACATGGTCAGCCAAGAACACAAGATTGATGATTCGTCTCCAAAGATATCTTATGTTCTTCCTCTCTT